TCCCTAAGACCATCCTGCATATCAGATATTTACATTACAATTCATAAAAGTAGCAACATTACAGTTATGAAGTAGCAAAGAAAATAATTTTATGGTTGGGTCACAACAGGAGGAACTGTATTTAAAGGGCCAGAAGGTTGACTACCACTGTAGGTGGTATGATATCATTATTAACTTTCTGAATTTGAAAATTGTATTATGGTTATGTGAGAGAGTGCAATTGTTCTTAAGAAAAATATGCTAAAGTACTTAGGAATGATAGGTCATGATGTCTGTAACTTATTCTCAAATGGTTCTATAAAGTAATAATAACCACAACAATCACAAGTTTTTATTGTAGAAACAGTAAAAACAAAATTGACAAAATGTGAGGTTTGAAATTTTCAAAATAAAATCCAATAAATTCAGTACATCTATCTATGTTAGTGATTTTGAATAAAGATGGAAGTGGGAAGGGCTCAGTATAACATTAATTAACCCATTAATTGAATGTTTTACTAGTTAAGTAAAATGAGATTATCTTCTTTTGTAACTTAATACAATCAAAGAGATTTTTGGCCAATGAATATTCTTTCAGTGTTATTCTGTTTTGGAGTCACTTCTAACACTCTCTAATGCTTAAATTGCAAATAGGTGTTTTATGAAATACAATAAATAGAGGTAATGGAAAGAACTAGACTAGGATTGGGAGATTTGGATTGGAATCCAGGTTCTGCCATTCACTAGCCCTCTGAACTTTGAGTTAACTACCTCATTTGGAAAGAATCAGCTGCAAATGGATTTTCTAAGTGCTTCATTTGTAAATATATTAGTTGTTAAATTCAAGCCTGAATGATTGTATAAAGATCATTCCTGAAGATATTTAAAAATAGAAAACACTCTTACTTTGAGTATTCTGTTTGTGGTCCTGGCTGATGTCCTCTACTTTGGTCACTGTTGTCCCCTTCTTTTTTTGTTACATCTTCTCTAAGTACTGCCACCCTTTCGAAGTGGTACCAATCAGCGAAATGGCTGAGTATAACAGGAAAACTCTGAAGAATGTTTGATACCTACTGCATTTATTTTTCTTTAGTGATGTATTCCACATACTGAAGGCAGCCTCAGAAGTACTGATTGCTGAATGTCCCTACGATGATTGTAGAGGAAGCTTTTTTTCTCCTTTGTGTTCCTTCAGTACAGTTATTGTATATATACTTTTTAAATTCAAGCAAACTCAGATTTCAAAATTTTCTACTTCCAAGTCTTGGAAATAATTAATGTGACACCTTAATAAAAGGTCACAGCAAAAACAACCAGTAGCAGAATAGCATATGGATTCAAGATGCTGCTTTAGAGCAGTAGTTCTTAAACTACTGGGGACAGGAGTGGAGGGAAAAGGTTGATAGGATTCCATCCTTGTTTCTCTTCCAGAGCAGTTCTGTGTTTGTTTTACATGCTAGGTTTCCAAGTAGCTTTTAGGAGTAGCACTTGGACTTCTTTATTTAAAAAAAAAAAAAAAAGTCAATTCACAGTACATTGAAAAGTTTCTATGAAACATCATTTGTATTAAAAAAAAAACAACAACTTGATTTAAATTATTTACTTAGCAAAATATTTTTGTTTATTAACAGAAGTAGATATGCAATATGCAGCAAAAGTGTATCGTGATGAACGACTTCGAAGGAAGGCAGATGCCTTGAGCATGGACAACTGCAAAGAACTGGAGCGGCTGACCAGTATTTATAAAGGAGGATGAACTGGAATTTTATTTATATCTTTTAGCGTACTATTTATTTTTCCTGTGAGTTTAGTTTCATCATGAGAGCTAAAGAAAAAGATTTGTTGTTAAAAACTAAACTGAATAGTTGGTCCCTGAAATTTTGGACTGTTTATGACCTACTGACTCCTTTAAATAGTAATAAACTGAAAACTAAAATCAATATTTTAGTTATGCTTCTGTAATTATTTTCACTTTAAAAGCTTTTATGATGACTAACAAAAATGTCTCAAGAAAGGATTATCACACCTGTAGCAGTTTTCAGTTTTAGTGATTCTCCATTTTTCCCCTTGTTATGTAAATATTTATGAAATGATCATTTTGTGTACATATAAGTTATTGCCTTTTATTTAAATTCTTTGTGTTTAGCTCCATGAGACACTTCAGTTTAAATTGATGGAATAAATGTTCTGTGACAAAATTACATGTTACTTGTCAGATGTTGAATGTGTAGATTTAAACACTGAAACTTTTTCAAAAAGAAAAGGAAAAACAAAAGATGTTTAAATTAATTTTGTGTAAAATCTTGTAGCATTATTAGCTATTTTAATATTGCCATTATATTCCAAAATATATATTGAGATAAATGAACTGGTGTAGAGTATCAATTTGCTGTTTATTTAGTTTTATGAATTGCTAAGCCATGCATAGAAATGAAATGCTATACTGATAGATTTTAAAGAAAATATGAGGAAATGGCTATATATTAAACAAAATGGGTCTTCAACAGTAAATTGCATTATGTCATTTGCAATTCCAATTATTAAAATACCCCCAAATGTTCATATACAGGGGAGGGCAAAAGTAGGTTTATGGTTTTACTATAAATAAATAATACATAATTAATGAATAATAACATAAGAATAAACTTTTGTGTACTCACAACTATAAACCTACTTTTGCCCACCCCTGTATATGTCTTTGAAAGCTGCTAAACTTTATGAAGAGAACCAACATGTTTCCTCTCCCCTCATGGAAATTCGCAGTTTCTTCTTAGTGATAATTTAAGCAGAATCCAAAAGTAAATGGATTCTTCTACAAATAAATAATAGGAAAAACTACTACTTTGCTTTGTGCCTTTTAACCTGATTGCCAACTCTTAAATAAATAAGTAGATTACAGCACACTTATTTGATCAGGGCATGATCTGTTTGGCCACATGCAACAGTGAGCAGAAATATAGCAGCAGACAGAATAATGATTTATAGCAAGTTATCCTTATAAAATTCTGAGCTAAAAATCTATTCACCATTGAGAATTCAATTAATCCATTAGGAATAAGCTCCTTGTAGTTAAATCCATAATATAAATTTGAGAAATCAGATGGAAATTGAAGTTTTATTACCTATATTGGGTATGAAACTAGTTGATTTCTAATCTATGTTTAACATAGTAATAATTTTGCTTCATTCTCAGTTAATGGAACATGAACACATCTTTGGTAATTTTTTTGTGTGTGAGAGAATGCTAACTAAAGTGGCAGTATTCCTTTGTTTAAAGATTTTTTTTTTCTGAATGTAGTCAATTTATAGCATCTGTTAAAACTTTTAAAATGATCACTTTTTTTCTTTTTTTAAATATATTTTATTGATTTTTTACAGAGAGGAAGGGAGAGGGATAGAGTTAGAAACATCGATGAGAGAGAAACATCGACCAGCTGCCTCCTGAACACTCCCTACTGGGGATGTGCGCGCAACCTAGGTACATGCTCTTGACCGGAATCGAACCTGGGACCTTTCAGTCCACAGGCCGACGCTCTATCCACTGAGCCAAACCGGTTAGGGCAAAAAAATGACCATTCTTTAAAAAATGTTCTCTTGTATCCCCTTTCCAGATGAATCAATAGAAATACCTGATTGAATTAGTTTAAACTAAACAATATATTGTCCTAGGAAAGTTGGACAGCTTAACTTTCTTTTAGAAATGCCACCTTTAAAAAAAAAAATAGCAGTACTTAAAAGAAATACAATTTCAAATATTTTCTTGAGCCTGTACAATGAATTTTTTTAAAAGGCCACAGCATTCTACTTAACTTTGAAAATTCATATGCATCAGAAAACTTATGAAGATTTTCATCCATTTATTTTTCCTTTTTAAAAAAATACATTTTATTGATTTTTTTACAGAGAGGAAGGGAAAGGAATAAGAGAGTTAGAAACAATCGATGAGAGAGAAACATGGATCAGCTGCCTCTTGCACAACCCCTACTGGGGATGTGCCCGCAACCAAGATACATGCCCTTGACCGGAATTGAACCTGGGACCCTTCAGTCCGCAGGCCAACGCTCTATCCACTGAGCCAAACCAGCTAGGCTATTTTTCCATTTTACTGGGATATTTACACGATTGTGGTTGATGCTTATGTGACTAGACTCTCTTGCCTGATTCTTTTTTTCCCTTAATCCTGGCTTTAAGGAGGCAGATAAAGTTATAAAAATAAATGAAATATATTAACAAGTCATACATGGCTTTTGGACAGTATTACATTTCAGTTTCTTTTCTACATTCTATTATATTTCATAAAATGTTCGGGGAAATGTGTTTGATAAAATTTTGGAACCGTGGGAAATGACTGAGTGCCTGACAGCATAAGCTACATATAAAATATGCAAATAAAGATTAAGTCCTTAATGTTACCTGTATCATGGTGTAAAGGCCCAGCCAAGTGTTAGAATTTTTGGTTAATTCTACAAAATAAGAAGACGTTAGCTATTTTAACACATTGCGGACAGATCATGAGAATTCTCGCTTCATATTACACAATGTTTTACAAAGTATCATACTTTAAAAAGATGTTAGCTTGTAAGAACATGTAATAACTTCAGAATGCAATGGGTATTTAATTTTAAAGCATGCCTTTAACATTTATGTAAAACATTTTTTGTACTCGTTCAATAGGAACTTATCTGGTCACTGGGTAAAGCTAGCAATAAAACTACTGGTCCACAATGTGTTAAGATGTAAGATTTTCATATTTTTTGCTACTTTTAAAAATCCAACATTTTGTCATCTTAGTTTTACCTACATGAGTCTTGCAATTTCATTTGAAAACTTGTACTGTTCATTTTAATCATTGCCTAATAGCCCTCTTTAAGTATTGCTTTACTAGCTTTTCTTACTGGTATTTTAGAAGTTTGGCAGCAAGTATATTTATTAATGATTTACATTTTTATCCTTTACAACACACACATAAACATTATCCTTGTGAGGATGTGGGGGAAAGTAAATAATACCTTTTCTTCTACTTTTTTTTTTATTCCTTAGTGCTCAATTAGACAGGTGCTAGACATTTGTACGTTTCAGAATTTATTTTAATGAAATGATAATTCTCAACAATGAGAAATTTCAAAGTGTAATCCATCTAATAAATGAGAACAATAATTTTAGAAACAGATTGCATTTGAATGCTTAAATAAGTAGTTGTTTCATAATCATTACATGCTTACTTAAGATTTACAAAGATTTGGTAGAGAAAAGGTCCTTAAGGCATATATATGCCAAGGCATTAAGCCAGTCTGCCTTTGTATCAGCTCAGGTGTTCACAGGAACAGGAATGTAAAATTTCAGCCCTTTTCTTTAATTGCACTTTTATGCTTAAGTTTTCTTCCTGTTAACTCTTCAGTTACACTAGTATGTAAAATAGTTACCAAGAAATATGATTAACATCTTGATTTCCTTTGTTGGTCTCCATTATTTTCAAGTGCAGCTGTTATTTAATACACTTGACATGTTAATATTACCTAATAATGGATTCCTACATATTCATTAAAAGTAAATTTCCCACTTGTGTTAAGGCAGTGAAATATTTTTTGATGTTGTCCTGAGGACCAAATTAGCCATTTTTTCCAGTTCAGTAAGTATTAAGTCAGAGGACTAAGTGGTTCAAAAGGAAAATTAGTGCGTTTATTTAGCCTTCCCCATATGAAGCTTGGGTTTACTACTACCCATATAACTGTCTTTATACTAAGTGAAGCAAACTAAAATGGCATTCATAATCTTTTTTCTTATCAGAATAGAAAAACTTCCAAAAATGAACAATGAACCAGAATTTTCATCTTTACTAAATAGCTAAAAAGGCTTGTCTTTTGGCCACAATGGATTACTGCCTAGTTAAAATCTATAAATTTTTCTATAAACCAGTGAAGAGGAGTCATCTGATAATAACTTCCCAAAATCTTTTAATTGTATTTTTTAATTACAAAGAAAAAGTGGGTAGAAGAGGATCTTCAAGGAATTCTTGCATATTTCTTTAATAATCTGGGAGGCAATACAGTCCTAGAATTCAGGTTTCCTTTTTGGTTTTATTACTATTTAAATGGGTACTTTCATATAAATGGAGACATTTTCCCTCAAACATTAATTCAAAACATACTCCTTATATTAAGGATTATGTAACCACTTTTTTTTGTAAGTTCCCTGTAACTTTTTCCTGTGGTACATGATTATTTAATTTTATTATCTGCTGGTTTGGGGGCCAATAGATTTGTGAATAGTCTGTGGATGTGTCCATGTATAGTTGTATATATTTTCCAGCTAATACCTCAAATGTGTGATTATTTTATACCACACTGTTTGCACAGAGCAGAGCTTCCATTAGCCATGGATATTCTTTGAAAGCAGTTCACAGAATTTCATTGGTGGGAATTCTTTCATTGGTGTAATATTTTTCATATTTTCAAGTTTCCTGTTGTAAGGCCCATACTTCAAATATAATTGTCTTCTATATCTAGCAATCTGGAAATATGTAGGTGGTAAGAAGTGTTTCTTGGAATGTCTTAGTATGTTATTGAAAATTGGGATTACTGGTTGCCAAGCTGTCTAGTAACTGCATAACAGATGGTGCCTGGCATGAATATGAACAAGTTTCCTTCACTTCAGCACAGGAATCGGGACTTTCCCATCTGAGAGTTACCATTTAAGAGCACTTCTAAAATGATAGGCATTTTCCAGTGACATTGGAGTATTTTAAGCACCAATTTCAAAATGAATTGTTTTAGTTGGATAACTATGCCAATGAGAAGAAACTCACACATAAATGATATTTTACAATTTATTTGTATTAAGAAATGCTTCTTACCTATTTTTGTTTTGTTTTTTTCTGGATTGCTACATAAGACTTTCCATTTAAGTTTAAGTCATGTGTCTTTAAAAGCTGCAGGTAATTTTCAAGGTGTGGTAGGATTTTAATGGAAGCCTTGTATTAGTTAAATGAAGTGAAACTGGTCAAGGAAATCTTTGTCTATAGTGCACTCAAGATTATACGATTAGATTTAAATGAAATGTCTGATTTGTAAAATATTTAATGTTATATCAGACTTAAATTTTTTGTGAGAACTCTGTTCAAGAATGAATTTTAATGAATGTTCTGCTGAATGATTTTTTTCTTTCAGTCTCTGACGTTTATCTCAGTATATGAATAAAAAGGTCTGTTCTCACTCTACAGCATTTGTTTTATCATGTTTTATATTCTTAATATGCCCTTTCTTTCAACCATCCAGTAAATGAATGAATGCCTAGTATCCCCAGGGAAGGAGCGGAGTGCTGGGAATTAATCACTGAACAGGACAAAAATCCTTATGAGGTCTATATCTAACAAGGAAGATAAATGTCAAGTAAATGACTATGATGAAAGCCACAGAGAAATTACAAGGTACAATGAGAGCATATATCTAGAAGACTTAACCTACTTTGGGAGGACCAGGAAAGATTTCTCTGACAAAGTGAGTTGAAGCTGAAACCTAAAAGATGAGAGCAGCAGTAAGGTGAACCCTAGAGAAATGTTTCAGGCAGAGTGTGGTAAGTTGATAAAGTCATAGGAACTTCACAGCAATGAAAACAAACTTTTATGGTTATGGCATAAGGAAGCCAGGGTAAGTTAGACAATTAAAATAGGAGTCAGATTCCATAGGACCATATATAAACCATAATGGTGATAACTGGACTTTAAGTCAGGAGAAAACCTTTGTGATTTTTAAGGAAGGACTTACATTATGAGATCTGAGTTTTTAAGATATTTTAGTTGCTGTGTGAAGACTGGAGGGCAAAAGTGAATGTAGGAAGGATAGGAAATTGTCAAAGAAGAGGTGATCATGGCTTGGACCAGAGTAGGAATATTAATAAGTAAATTATTTTGAGATATAAACAAGGCAGAAAAGAATAATCAAATTGAATTTGGGATAAATGGAGGCAGCAATTAAAAACTTCAAAAATTTGGCTATAAAAGTAGTGAAAAAGTGGTAGCTGGAAATGTGGTTTTATAAGGCCTTTCTTTTATTACATAAGACCTTAATATTTATTACATAGGAAAACTTACCAATTTTTTATCTTGATATAAAGGGCCAAGTAGAAAGTGAAAATGAATTCACTCTCAGGATAAGAGAAAAACATAGAACCCCAAGGCAGGCTTGAATGCCACCAATTAAGTTAGGAGACCAGAGTAGGCGAGGGCATAAAATTAATGGAGCTGTGTCCCAGGTGCTAAGGGTTTAAATAAGGGAATGGAAATGATTTTCAATCAGGTCATTTGCTATGGAACTGCTAAATTCACTTATAATAATGAAAGTCATTTGTAACATATGTACCATTTCATCTTCTCAGGAATAATAGAAAATATCCAATTCTTTTCATCATGTCTTGGGGTAGAGTTATTTCTTTTTGTACTCTTGCTAGGGATTGGAACTGAAGACGAGTCATAAACAAGTTCCCCTTGACTTCATTTTCCTTCTATCTACTGTAGGTTTTTTAAAATGTGCAAACAAGCAAGGCTCCAAATAAAAAATAGCATTCCTTACAGGCACAGCCTTCCAACTCAAGAGCCTGTGAAAGAAGGTTGTCCAATGTCTGCATATTGAGGTGCATAGATAGATAACTGTGAGAACTCCGTAAAGACCATGGCTCCTCAATTCACTCTAGACAAGGCCATGAGTTAAGAGCAGTGGGTGGTGGTAAGTCTGCACCAACAGGAGGCAGGCAAAAAGATCTTGTTAGAGTTTAAGAAATTTTATTACATTCTCTCACAGTGGGCTGAGACCAGTATATCCGGGTCAGGAAGCAAGAGTAGGGAGGGTGGGATATTTGTGTCTTGTGAAGGTCCCCAGGAACCAGATGCAGGTGCAGGTGCAGGAAGTCAGGTCTAAAGCCGATTTTCTCAGCCGGTCAGCTTTCTCTGTGACACCTGAAATAAGAATAACAGGAAAACTGCAGAGAGCATGAGATCCAAGTGGGGTATAATGGAAAAGAACTGAGCGTAGGGAAATGATTCAGAATATGTCTAGCATTCTAACCTTCTATTTTCCTTCTGTGAACTGGGGCTGACGAGGGAGTTGATCTCATTCTTCTGTAGCTTCTTCCTGCTCAGGTGGGGCGTAGAGCTGTCCCTACCTAGTTAGGGACTGAGAAAGGGGATGATATCTAGTGTAGGGCTGGAGAAGCATTATTTCCCCTATGGATCTTAGTGATAGCCTGGATATAGTTTTGGAGGGAGGAAGAAATGGCTCTTAGGATGCATGAGCCAAAGATCAGTGCCAGAAAGAACATTAAGAGGGATCCAACTAAAGGCAGAAGCCAAGAGGTCCAATCTAGATTCTGTGGCCAGGTGCCCAGGATTCTGAAAGCTGTGAGAGTTTTGTGGCCCTATCATCTAGTTTGTCCTTGCTGGTCCCAGAGTAAGCGGTGAGAACCTTAAAGGACTGGTTATTAGGGGCAATGTCTATCTCAGGGATGATAGACTAGTGTACAGGTCCCAGTCCAGTTGGCTGGGAGACAGAGATAGGTGCTGGTACCACACAGTAACAAGATTCCTTGATTTTTTAAGCAGAAGGTTTTTTCGATGAAGAGGTGAGTGAGCTTGTTGTTTTCATTTTCCCAAACAGAAAGAGTTCCAGCTAAAGTTGCCCCCGTAAGGAGCTGAAAAGGGCCTTCAGGATTGACCTGTGTAGCCCCTGTGGTGGTATTCTCAAAAAAAATATATTTTCTGTCAGTGTCTACCCAAAATTTGGAGTGTGTGAGGCCATGGGAGGGGATTTGGCGGCAGTTAGGACGTAATTGTGATTTGCAATCCTGCCAGGGGAAGTAGTTAATGCAGGAAAGCGGTCGACCTGAACAGAACTGGGAGGTGTCGGTTGTTGGGAAGGTTGCTGAGATGGTAGGCCAGGCTGAGAACTGAACAGGCTTTGAGAAGTAGGCTGTTTGGGTAACTATATAACTAGCCCAACGCTTGAAAGAGGGCTGAATTTCAAGAGTAAAGTGGCATAGGCGTTGATCAAGATCTCCTAAAACCTTTCCTGCAGGGTGTGTCCTGTTGACGCAGAGAGGGGCCCGAGATACTAGGACGGTGTTGGTTGTTGCTGGTCTTAAGATGGGGACTTGGTTGGAGGAGTGCTCAGTGATGTTGTTTAAGTATGACTGGAGTAACTGTACGGCCCTGCCTGTGAGTGTTCCTTTAGTCATTTCTGTGATTTTGAAGTTATAAATTTCATCGAGGTGCATGAGTTGGAATGGGAGTCCTCCCTGTACCTTGTAGTGGAAGGATAGACTGGAGTTGGCCCATGTATGTAGGGAGGCTGGGATTGCCGTGTAGCTAGCTGAAAAGGGGGGGAAACAGGTTATGATGAGGAGGTGATGTGTTAGGTCTAGGGTTCGAGATAGTGAGGACTTAGGAAATTTTTTAGAGGTATGGGGTAAATCTGTGTACAGAATAAGGGGAGAAGGATTAGGGAGATCATTGTACAACCCTAACAGTGTTAAGAGTAGTTCCAACCAGGTGACATAAGGTAATAGTACATCAGAAGATCAAGAATGATAAGGATGACCCACAGGAAGACCAGGCACTAGAAGAGGGGAGATCTTATAGTATCTTGGTCAATCATGGGGCCAGGTTTAACCAGGTTGTAATCTGTTCCCAGGAATAGTCAAGAAAATCCTCTGGGAGGAAAGTGTCCCACAGGAAAGACAAGAGGTGCGATTCCGTGGGGGTGGGGAGTGGATGCTGAGAGGGACAGGAACAGCTGCTATGAGGTGCAAAGAGTGAGGCAGGGACCAGTATAGGCAGAGCAGTGAGGGGCAATGGGGGGAGCCTGGCTTACAGGGGATTAGGTAAAGGTCTGGGACTTACAGTTGCTTGGGAATTTTTGTGAACTTGAGGAGAGCTGGTCTGAGGCTGACACTCCAATAAAAACGGACTGGTGGAGCCTGGGGTGCAGGGGCTCACTTCAACCTGGAGGAGTGGAGTGAGGAAGGACATCCCTGTAACTTGGCCGCCTTCCTGTGGTCAGAAGTACCTGGTGTGGGCCGGTCCACCTGGGCTTTAGGGTTCCCCGGCCGTTGGATGCTGGAAGCATATCCAGTCTCCCGGTTCCAGTGGAGGATCAAGGGGGGAGTGAGTGGGAGGCCTAGAAGCACTGTGTTGGCATGTTGCCCAAGGAGGTGACCAGGGAGGTCGAGGGTGGAGAGAATCCCCACAAAGGGCTAGAGGTGGTGGGGACGTGTCCAAGTAGGAAGGGTCTGCAGTGCAGACGCTGGAAAGGGCTGGAGGCTGGCTTGTCTGGAACCAGTGAGATGGGGCTCAGTAAGACGGCTGAGTGGGTGGATGAAGGGGTGGAGTCCAGAGACAGAGGGGCAGTGGGAGGAGGGCTGGGGGGGTCAGAGGGGAAGGGAGGGCCCGAGGGGCCGGACAGGCGGGGGAGGACTGACCAGAAGCCTCAGGGTTGGGTGGAAGGGGGCTTTGAGTGCAGGAGGAGGATCTGGTGGGTGTAAGTATGACAAGAGAGGACGATTACAGAGAGTTAAGAACTGAAAAACTTTACCAAAAACCCTTCATTTCAGTTACACTTCCTGTCTTAACAACTCTGAGATTTTTTTTTAAATATATATTTTATTGATTTTTTTTTTTTATAAAATCAGGTCTTGTTTCTTTTTTTTTTTTTTTTTAATATATTTTATTGATTTTTTACAGAGAGAGGAAGGGAGAGAGATAGAGAGCCAGAAACATCAATGAGAGAGAAACATCGATCAGCTGCCTCCTGCACACTCCCACTGGGGATGTGCCCGCAACCCAGGTACATGCCCTTGACCGGAATCGAACCCGGGACCCTTCAGTCCGCAGGCCGACGCTCTAGCCACTGAGCGACACCGGTCAGGGCTCTATGAGATTTAAAGCCAATGATTACCTAAGCCATTTTCCTGATACATTCTGTAACAGGGGTAACATGACCGTGACACCTTTAAGGAGGCTGGAATAAAGGCGGGGGTGGGGGAGCAGGCTTGCCAGCTGCTTGCATTCAAAGGCGCCACCTCCTCCCCTTACAGGGGGGTCAGGCCCGGGCCCGGAAGTGAACCCCAGCCCCGCGCCCGCGGGCGTTCGTGGGGCGAAGCCAGCAAAGCAGAAGGTCAAGTGCCTCTTACCGGAAACTGGAGTGGCCGGTGTGGTCGGGAGGAGCCCGCAGCCGGGGGTGGGGGTCCCTACGGGCTGCTGTGCATCCTGGGTTCCAGCACCAAACTGTCGGGTCCCCGCCGGCAAGGAGCCAGGCCAGGAGGCCTCGTGGGAGTTTAAGAAACTTTATTGCATTCTCTCGCAGTGGGCTGGGCCCAGTGCGGCCGTGTCGGCAGCAACGGGGGGGAGCCGAGGCGGGTGCCGGCGGCTGCGGGGCGCCGGGTCTAGAGCTGCTTTTCTCAGCCGTCCGCTGCCTCCTGCGGCGCCTGCAATGAGAGTAACAGGGAAATCGCAGGGAGGGCGGGAGCCCCAAGTTGGGCACAGGGGGCCGGGACTGAGCGCAGGGGGAAGGTTCCGGTAACGGGAAAGCCAAGACTAGGACATCATGGGGCTTCTAATAGCCGCAACCTGGTGCTTGCTGTGCACACCTTCACATTCCTCCAACGGAAGAAAAGGTTTTATGATACCGCATCCCGAAAACCGAATGGAAACCATACACTCTCTGCGCACAAAAAAGAAAAAAAGAAAGAAAGTCTCTTCGCTAGACTTACGGTGGGGAAACACGCAGCGAGCGATCCGGTTCAAACTTGAACCGCGGGTATCCCAGCGGCCACGCGGCCGGGCGTCTGCGCAGGCGCGGGAGGCCGCAGCCCGTGGAGGGCCTTGGTATGGGGGCGGGGCGCGACGCCAGCCCGCGCGCACGGTGTCCGTTGCCTCTCCCCGGAAATGCTGCGTCCCCGGGCGTCGGAGGCGGAGGGAGTGCTTCCTGGAGCACAGAGGAGGTCACAAATCATGTGACGGCGGCTTGCGGAGGAACCTGTCTTGGAAGCTTGTCCCCGAGGCGGTGGACAGCCACGAACCTTGCTGCTCAGAGAGCCGGGTAACTGGGCCCCTTTGCCGGATGGTCAGGCCTGGGCCCGCGGGTAGCGCGGGCGCTGAGCTGGAAGAGGAGTGGACGGCCCTTCCCCTTCGCTGGGGACTTCGATTCAGGGGGCTGGGGAGGTGGGGTGGGCTGAGGCATGTCGGTGTCCGGGAACTCTGGCTCCCTTCGGTGTCCGCCACTCCTGGAGGCGCGGGTTCTTGCCGCTTACTAGGGTCGCGGTGGGGCGCGAGGGAATCTTGACGGGAGAGTCACCAGGAGTTTCTTTTTCAGGCGTGGATCTTGAACCCGCGGGAGAAAGGGGTGCATCATGGCGGATGTGAGTTACCCCCCAGCACAGGAGGAAGGAGAGGGTGGAGAGTTTGGAGGAGACTCCTGGGCGGGGAGAGGGAGCGCTTCCCGTAGAAATTTGTTTCGTTTGGCCCCGCCCCCCCCGTAATTATTTTCTGTAGTCTCTGCAGTGAGCGGCTAATATGAATGGATTTGCCGGGGTCCTGAGTGGGTCTTGGAATGGGGGTGGAGGACACCAGGTCGCCTGTTCGTACTCCCCAAATCCCGCGGGCATAAGAGGCTTTGAACATTGCCATTTGAGTTTCTAAATTGTGGTTTCCTGCTCGGAATCCTTTTTTTTTTAGCAGTGGTCATGGTGTCTTTTTAGGTTCATTGCAGCAATTTTAGTTGATTTCCAACTGGCATCTCTTTAGCGCAGTAACACAAGTCAAATGCTAAGCTTAGGTAGCTTGTGCTAGTTACTAGAAACAGCAGGGCATGAATACTCACACTCATGGTGATGCTTTACCTCCTGTTACTTTGCTTACGTACATGCTGAGTGTTCTAAATATTGAACATATATTCATTTCTTATAACTTTTGCGCGGTAGGCACTGTCACCCCTGTGATGATAAGGCACAGAAAGGTCAAGTAACTGGCCTCAGGTTACACAGCTAGTACTTGTGGAGTCCAGATACCAGCTCGGGCAGTTTCACTCCAGAGTCCATGCTCTTAACCATTACACTAAATAGTCATTCAGCATTAGTGTGAATCTGATTCCTTTTCAGATTGCAAGATTATGTGTTTCAATATTAAGCAACATTTACAGCCCTTATCTCTCCATTTTTGGGTGTCTTCCATTATATTTTTGAGACCTTATTAGTCAGGCATAATCAAATCACTTTCTATTGAGCATCTGTCTTGCAAAGGTTTCTGTCATAAGGGCTGAGGGTGAAATAATGAAGATTGAGGTATAATTCCTCTCCTTCAGAGTTTTACAACTTAAAAAAAATACTATGCAAGGGATCATAGATATGCATACATTACTGTGTGAAAATTTCGAGTGATTACCTCTGGTTTGTGTCTATCAGGATAGCCTGATTGGAGTATTTGGTGGTTGATATTAGCTCTAAATGATGAGTGGCAACTTTTTAAAAAGAGAGGGAGAATATTACTACTAGAATGAATAATCTAAGCAGACTTAGGGAGAGGTATGTATGGAAGAGCTGTGAATAGTCTAGTTTAGCTGGGGCTAAGGATATGTATGAGGGAGTGGTAGGAAGCAGGGCTGTAAACTTAGTCATAGGCCATGTTGTAGAGCAGCGGTTCTCAACCTGCGGGTCGCGACCCTTTTGGGGGTCAAACGACCCTTACACAGGGGTCACCTAAGACCATCGGAAAACACATGTATAATTACATATTGTTTTTGTGATTAATCACTATGCTTTAATTATGTTCAATTTGTAACAGTGAAAATACATCCTGCATATCAGATATTTACGATTCCTAACAGTAGCAAAATTATAGTTATGAAGTAGCAACGAAAATAATTTTATGGTTGGGGGTCACCACAACATGAGGAAATGTATTAAAGGGTCGCGGCATTAGGAAGGTTGAGAACCACTGTTGTAGAGTCTCAAATGTCTAAAGAATCGTCTATAATAATAAAAGCGTAATATGCTAATTAGGCCGGACTTCCTTCCTTCCGGACAAAGCCGCAGTGGCTGGCGGGGTGGGAGGCAGAGGTGGCCACTGCAGGAGTTTTGTGCATTTGGCCTCTAGTTTGTACATAATTCAATGTACAGTTGAGAGCCTTTCAAAGATTGGTTCTGAAACTGGCTGCACAGGGAATCATCTGGGGAGCACCTCCAACCCCGGCATCAGAGTGTGTGTGTGTGTGTATGTATGTATTAATGCTCCTCATATGTTATCCATAACAAAGGTTGAAAATCACTGCAATTATGGCTTTAGAGAAGGAGGAAATATGACTCTTGGCACTGTGTAGAACTGCATGGGATAGAAACATGAGATCGGTATACCAATTGGGAGGTTAGTGCACGTCACAAATAGTAAAATGAAAGTAAACCGTATGTCCATTGAAAAGGAGAAGAAATCGGTTTAAAAACATTGGACTTCACAGGTGATTTAAAAGTGACAAATGTGAGGTTAGGGTTAACTATTACTCATAGTTTCAAACCTGAATAATGGGGTTGGTAGTGCCATTAGTAGGAACAAAATGATTGAGAAATTTGGATTTTAGATGACACCGTGATAAGTTGAGATTTTCTTGTGTATGTTTAAAATGAGAGGAAAGGTAAACTGGTGGTGATAATATGAAATAAATGAACATTAAGGTTTGGAGAATTGTAGGGTTTAGAGGTTCAAAACAGCAGGTATCGTATTTATCTTTGTAGAGCTCTTAATTGATACCTGCTTGTCATTGAAATTCTCCAGATGAGAGAGTGTAATGAGACAAAGTAAAGTAGTTTTTTATTTCGTTTGTCGTAATTATGTCACATGCTAAACACTTGACATCATATATTTAGTCATGTGAGGAAATTAAATTTCAGAGAAATAAATGAATTTACCCAGGATTGTTAAAGTGATGTGTATACGTGGAAAGATATTCATAATATATTCTCAAGTGAACACAACAATAGCACCAGGATTTGAAATAATACGAAAGTATGACCTAATTTTACAGCTAATATGTATTTGTGTTTCCCATTTCCAGATATGCTCATCACTTTACATTCATCTTCTCAATAAACTTTAAAACAGTCTTAAGACTTAGGTTCTGCTATTGTCCCTACTCAACAAATAATGAAACTGAGGCTTAGAGAAAAAGGTTAACTTGCTTCAAGTCACACAACCAGTAAGTATCAAAATCAGAAAGGGAAAGAAAACACAAACAAGAAAGGTTAGGAATGTGACTCAAGGTCCCTGAAATGTGACTAGGACAGGATCTAGAGAATTAGTACAAGGCATGTTTTTACATGATTTGTTAATGTTCTCTTTCAGGACCTAAAGCGATTCCTGTATAAAAAGTTACCAAGGTAAAAAATTATTTATTTGTCATTAAATAAATTCTGCATAACCGTTAATTTTATGTAGCATTTTGTTTCTTGCTATTTTAGACTAAATATTGTGTGTATATAATGCTATTGTTGAGCACTTTACCTAACATAGCCCTAGGTAGCATGAATAATATCCTTCGAATTTGCAGATAAATAACATGGGGCCTAGAGAGGTTACAAGAGTACATTTATTTTGCTGTAAAAAAACTTATCCGGAGTAGTTTGAACAGTGTTTGCCTACTTCTTTCCATATACCTTAAGATACATGAAAGCTATATGCTTAGGATAAGGAGCAGGCAGCTTTTCTGTGCCATGGCGAATTGGCATGCTCCTAAGTCTGAGTCAGCTTTCAGGATGTTGTCCAGTGTTGTGAAATATCTCCGAGAGTTCTTTAATAGGAAGCTTGTTTGCCAGTGTCATTTCCTCTGTCAGTTCCATTAACCTTTTCATCACAACCACTTTCTCATTTATGTCACTAAGTCCACCTTCACTAAGTTCTCTGGCTGTACATTTTGTGCAGAACAATGATAATGTCAACCTCTCAGCCAGCTATTTCTTTTCTAACTCCATTTAATTTCTATTCAAATTTCACCTCCAGTATTACCACTTTTCATTTCTTTGCTATATTTTACTTTAATTGGCCTCATTTCAGTTATTTTTTTAATATCACTGGACAATGAGATAATACTGCATGTTTTTGTTCTCTGCATAAATCAAACAGATGCTCCGTAATCAATCACCAACACTCTGAAAAAAGTGATGTGACTACTTATTGATCACAATGTGTGTCTGTTATGTCAGTTATTTACATAGTAATGTGTGAACTAAAGAAATAGTGGTTTGTACTCTATATAATTATTCAGTTAATATATCATACTTACTGATATTTGATCCATGCTGTTGAGGGGGAATGGTGTTATTTAATCTGGCAATTAAAATGTTTCTAAATTGGAACTTTACAAAAATGAGGGCTTTCTGTATTTGTATTTGCCTTCTTAGAACTTTAGCATATTGAAAGGGTGCTAAAATTGGTGATGGGTGGGGGAATATCACACTGACGACAAAATACAGAAATGGAGGCATAGTGATATTTGTAAAAACATAATGAAAATCTTTTCATAATGGAAAGAAAATGATTAGTACAAAGTGGTGTTTTTTTTTCCATCATGACTGAGGCTAGTTTAATTCATATCTGTGACCATTTCTTGATGGTAGGCATATTGCAACCCAAGAGCCAAAAGAATGGGGAAGTAATATTATTGAACATTTATAAAGAAAAATATTAGAATACACACTGATTTGTTGCTAGATGTATGTAAGTTAAGGGTTTGGACACAGGCAGCCTAGCTTCAGAGCTGTGGGTCCATGCTCTTAATTGTACTGCTATGCCTCTCAACCAAGTCAATTTTGTTTTGTTTTTTTAATTCTCTGTTAAATATAGTTCTTGTATTTGTATTTTTAAGTCTAGTTGTGACTCAAGCAGTCTCAGGCTTAAATAATCACAACTTTGTGTTTTAAAATAACCAAATGTTTCATTACTATATTAATAAAACTAAGTATGATATCTTTGATTACCAATGTAACATTTGCTTTTGCGGGGAGTGGGATTAAAATGTTTTAGTGCTGGTGTTGCTCGGTCACGGGTCGATTCCCTGTCAGAATACATGCCCAGGTTTCGGGCTGGATCCCCTGTAGGGGTATGCAGGAGGCAGTGATTCTCTCTCATCAGTGATGTTTCTATCGCTCCCTTTCCCTTCTTTTCTGAAATCAATAAAAACATGTTAAAAAATGTTTCAGTAAGTGTAAGGTTTAGATTTCTACAGAATATTTCATACAATTTATTTCTTCTGAAAGTATAGTGTACTTATCAATGCATTATATTTATTTTCAATTATTAGTAAAAATCTATTCCGGTTATTCTTTGTTGACTGTGTGTAGAATGGGAAACACCTTTTATATTTGTGACCTGATTTCTTTTAAGTGATTACTTTAAGTATGTGAGTAATTTTTCTACCTTTTTGGACAGTTATCTCTGTGAATTTGGAATTAAGAAGGAGATCTTTTTAACTTCTACCTCCTCTTTGGGTGCTTTAGGTGGCATTTAAGTTAACTACTATGAAAAGAAAAAAGGTACATATGGTGACAGATTTTTAAAACATTTTGTAGTACTCTTTACCTGTTTTTTTAATTTGCTTTTTTTTTGAGTAGGCAATACATTCATAAAATTCAATATTCAAAAGTTAATTGAAGGGCATAGAATGAGAAGTTTCCCATCACTGCCCTCAGCCACATAGTTCCCCTCTCATAGGCACCCATTGTTACCTACAGGCAAACGTGTATATAAACATACATATTTGCATGTATACACAGAGGTCTCAGGCTGCTATAATACAAAGTACCAGAGATTGGATATTTATTTTTATTTTTATTGATTTCAGAGAGGGAGGGATAAAAACATCAATGATGAGAGAGAATCATAGATCGGCTGCCTCCTGCACACTCCCTTCTGGGGATTGAGCCAGCAATCAGGCATGTGCCCTGACTGGAAATGGAACCATGACCTCCTGGTTCATAGATCAACATTCCGCCATCTGAGCCACTCTGACCAGGCTGGATACAGTGGGGCCTTGACCTACGAGTTTAATTCGTTCTGTGATGGAGTCGTAACTCAAATTACTCGTATGTCAAATCAACAGTGAACGAGTGAGACGTGATGCTGGGCTGATGTTGTGGCGTTCACTGTGACGTTCGCTGCGCCAACTAGCAGTGGGGTATCTGAAGCTGGCTCGTAACCTGAATTTTAGCTTGCAACTCAAAGCAAAAAATCAGCCGAAAGACGGCTTGTATCTCGAAAAACTCGTTAGTCGGGACACTCGTAAGTCAAGGCCCTACTGTATTTCTTATATGTAAATGATCAAAATTTATTTCTCCTAGTTCTAGAGCAGGAGTGGGCAAACTTTTTGACTCGAGGGCCACAATGGGTTCTTAAACTGGACCGGAGGGCCGGAACAAAAGCATGGATGGAATGTTTGTGTGAACTAATATAAATTCAAAGTAAACATCATTACATAAAAGGGTACGGTCTTTTTTTTTTTTTTAGATTTATTCATTTCAAACGGGCCAGATCTGGCCCGCGGGCCGTAGTTTGCCCACGGCTGTTCTAGAGGCTGGAAGTCCCAAGATCAGGGCACCAGCACGCCTGGGTTCTGGTGAAGGCCCTCTTCTGGGTTGCAGATTGCAGACTTCTCATATTCTCAGACAGGGAAGGAGAGCTAGCTAGCTTTCTAGCCTCTTAGAAGGGCACTAGGTACATTCATGAGGGCTCCACCCTCATGGCGCAATCACCTCCCAAAGGCCCCACCTCCAGATACCATCACATTGGGATTAGGGTTTCAACATATGATTTTGGAGGGTGACAAACATTTAATCTCTTGTAATATACACATATAAATGCTTACATTGTGTTGTTATATAAGTTGCTTCTTGTACACACTATTCAAAACCATGTGCCTTTTCACTTAACATCTGTAAGTTTGAGATCAGTCCTTCCCAGTACATGAAGAGCTGCTTCTTTGTTTGCAGAGTATTCCATTGCATTTATGTGTCATAACTTATTTAACTTGTTCTTTTTGATGGTTAGTTAGGTTACCAATCTTTTTCTATTTCAAGAGATGGTGCCATTGGTAACTGCACAAAGTGGTGTGTGGATGTCTCAAGTATCTGTAGGATATATTTTTATGCAATCTAGTTTTTAACTTAGAAGAAAATATTATTTTATGTTTTAATCACATAAGTTATGTTTCAATCCATAGATAATTTTAGGATTTAATGATAATAGAAAATAATACTAGTAAATATACACAATTCTTTCATCTTTCTTATTTTTAATGTGAGGCAGATAAATGGCTTTGTTTGTAACATTTTCTCAAATTGTAATAACACTTCTCTGACAAACATTTTTTGACAGTGGGATTTAAAAACATAATTTCAGTAATATGAGTATAAGTTAATGTGAATATTATTCACTGCTTAGTTAAAATATTAAGATTAACACAATAAGGAATGATAATTGTAGGTTATATAGTAGAAACATTGAGCATATTTCTGAGTTGCAACCTACATACGATATAGTTATAAGGCTCTAGGTTTTGCATAAATATTGAAAGTTTGAGAATGTTTCCTCATAATTTTTGACACTATACTTTTATGCTCTAGCAATTCTTACTAATAATTTAATACTTAAACTGTAGTGATAAATTGTATCATTATCAGGGTGCACAGATGATACCCTGATATTAATAATAATTAGTATTTTAATGTAAACTTATGTACCAACCTCTACATGTATTATTTTATTGAATTTTGCAATAGCCAAAAAGTACACTTATCCCCATTTTCAGATTGTTAACTGAGGCTTGGAGAGTTTTATAACTAGCCCATGGTAGCATAAACAGTAAGCAGGAGAGCCTGGGTGCAACTCACCTTTTTAATTTCAGAGGTATAGTCTTGACAATTCTGCTTACTGCTCCTTAGATAGACACTAGAGGCCCGGTGCATGAAGTTTGTGCACTCAGGGGTGTGTGGTCCCTTAGCCCGGCCTGCTCCCTCTCGCAGTCCGGGAGCCCTCAGGGGATGTCCGACTGATGGCTTCTGGCAGTGGGACATCCTTAGCGCTGACACAGAGGTGGGAGAGGCTTTTGCCACTGCTACTGTGCTCGCCAGCCCTGAGCCTAGCTTCTGGCCGAGTGGCACTTCCCCTATGGGAGGGCACTGACCACCAGTGGGCAGCTCCTGCGTTGAGCATCTGCCCCCTGGTGGTCAGTGCACATCATAGCTACCGGTCGTTCCTCAGTTCGGTCGATTTGCATATTAGCCTTTTATTATATAGGATGGCTGAAAGGATTGCTGCATAACCTACATTCTTCCCATCCAATTTCTTCAGCTTCAAATGATCTTTGTGCCCTTGTCTTAATCAGTGCCATAACACCTAAGCTGAGCTTTCACTTCCTCAGGGAAGCCTTCCTTGACCCACTTAACCCACCTTGGCCCTCCCTCCCCTCTCCTCTGCGTTATAGGCTGTTGTATCCTATAAGATCACTTACTTGCCACAATTGTAGCTTTATATTTGTTAGTGCGAGATTATTTGATGGATAGTTACTCTCCTTTTAGATTGTAAGTTTTGTGAAGACAGTGACTTTATTTTTGCTTAGCATGGTATTATAAATATTCAGTGCCACAAATATTGGGCACTGTTATTAGAATGAATGAAAGAAAAAGTCTGTCTTTGCCATTGTATCCACTGCTAATAACCTGTCATACTTCAGTAAACCACAGAATAATTAGCAATTTTAATGGAGAATCAGCTATGTTTTAGCTCTTCATCAATAAACTATAAATTGTAAAAATATATTGTCAGTGATACACATTCATTCAATTTCTGGAAGAGTTTTAGTAAACAGGAGTTTAGGCTGTCAAGAATTGAGTTTCCATGGTTTTTCAGAAATACACATGAAAATTATCATTATGACTTTGAGGTACACATTTTCAGAAAGTGAAATGTTATATATTTTTCCTTTCTAGTGTTGAAGGGCTTCATGCTATTGTTGTGTCAGACAGAGACGGGGTGCCTGTTATTAAAGGTAAAACAGAACTTAACATGCCAGTGTTGTGTTTGCTTTAGAATAAAGATGTACTTACATCTGAGTAGTACAGAAGCAAGTATATGAAACCCATTTCAGAAAATTTAGGAGAAGGTTTTTGGGGGGAAATGTTTGCTTTTGTATGTTGAAGGCTGTGTTGAAACTTAAAACTTATTACATATTAAGTGTATCATGTTGCCATTCAGAGCTTAAGCATGGATTTAATCACAGGCCCAGTTTCCCGTTAAAGACATACTATGGTATAGTATAAAACAAGCATGTCAAACTTGCAGTCCACAACGAGTATTTTTGTGGCCCAGCAAATATAACGTATGTAAGAAAGGCTTTAATAAAAATTTTGTAACTTAATTTTTACAATATCCTGTTATACATAATTATTAATAACGAACTACAACGTTCACTAATGACTGATTACTATAATCATGTTGCATTCATTTCCCTTATGCGCCTTATGTGAAGGTGCACCATTTTTCTCCACTAATACTAGCAGCGAAGATTTTAGCAGCTGATTGCCACGTCTTTAGTCTTGTACTGACTTGTTTGGTGTGGGCAACAGGAAATATTTTGCTTTCGGAGAACAAGGAAAGTAGGCTTATTTGCATTACGCTTATTAATTTGTGCAGTTATTCAGTGTCTGGTAAGTTAATGTTCAAGAAAAAAATATTAATTTTTATTAAAATGTTCTATTATTTTATGTTAACGATTACTCATTTACTTCAGCCCTTTGTATTCAGTATGTCTCTATCGAAATAAACCTATGTTTCTATGAAAATTGAAGTTTTTGTTTTTTTGTGGCCCACATAAACTTAAACCTTGTTTATTTGGCCCGTGTTAGCCTTTGAGTTTGACGTGCTTGATATAAACCATTAGTAAATCTATATGATAAGGCTGGGCATGTATGCAGCTAGATATATTATACATAAAGACTCCTCCTCCCTCCCCAATATATATTTTTATCAGTAGTTTTAGGATAAATATCCATATATTTGAATCAACATACTATTGGTTGTTTTTGTTTAATCTTTCTTGATTCTGTACTTCTTTACTGGAAGTAAGATTTTAAAAAAAAACACAACTTTTTATGTTTTACAAAACTTTCAGTTAACCAGAATCTAACAAGAATTTTTTACCTAAAGAAGAGCTTGCTAACCTAAAAAAAGAACTTTTTACCTAATTTAAGCTTTTTGTTTGTTTTTGTTTTTAGTGTATATGATGTCATAGTCAGTATATATTAAGAACATCTTTCTACTCTCTCTGGTATCATCAATGGATGTGTACAGTTATACTAGGACACTATAATAGTGTTACCAAAGAAAGAGTAAATAATGCTCTACACATTTTATTGCCAATTTATTTTCTAACTGGGTTTATCGTACATGTCAGGTAATTTTAGACTTGAGTTAAAGGAAGTTTAGAAATAATGTACTTATTTTGTTTTATAAATGAAGATTGTCAAGTGCAAAGAGTACATTGTTATTCCTAAGTTGTGATGTGAGTCAGTGACAAAATAATATTAGAACCCATCATTTCCTGATGTGTGATCCAGTGTGCTTTCTAACTTACCATAAAACATTGGTGGCTATGGGCAAGTCACTTGTCTTTTCTTAGTTCTGTAATGAAGGCTTTAAACAAAATAATGTCAGATTTGCCAGCTCTAATATTCTTTCTGAGGTTCTCTGTGTTAAAGCCTTATGCTTGCCCAGCTAACTCCTTGACTTAATGAGTGAAGGAAAAAGTTGGCCAGTTGCACAATTATTAATACCAATAAGCAATATTACTATAGGTTTTATGAGAGCAAAGTTTTCTGAAGCTTTTTCAAAATTCTAGCTTGGCCGTCAGTTAACAAGAATATTCAGTTTATTAAATGTACTGATTGCTCTGGGTACTTCAGTTGGTTAGAACGGCTTTCTGATACACCAACATTGTGGATTTGATCTACAGTCAGGTCACATATAAGAAGCAACCAATGAATGCATAAATAAGTGGAATAACAGATTAATGTACCTCTCTCCCCCTCCTTCCAAAATCAGTCATTCAATAAAATATATAAATGTACTGATTAATCTGTGTCTTAAGGTAGGTAGATACTAAAGAAATATAATCATTTAATCTTTTTAAAAGTAAAAATATTGTGAGAATCATCATTTTTTCCCTTAGTTTTGATCGCTCACTCAACATCTCAGCAGTTTTTCACACCTGAATTGATGAGACCCAGTTAGTGATGTGATTTTAAATATTGGAAAGAACTCTTGTGCTTGGTGTTTTTCCAGATCCATGTCTTAAAAAGGTGCTGCAAATCTTTCTACCATGTCCACTGCGTAATTTTTACTTAAATCATTTGTATTTCCAGTGGCCAATGATAATGCTCCAGAGCATGCTTTGAGACCTGGTTTCTTATCTACTTTTGCCCTTGCAACAGACCAAGGGAGCAAACTTGGACTTTCAAAAAATAAAAGTATCATCTGTTACTATAATACCTACCAGGTAAGTTCATAACTATTCAATGGCTTGCTGATTTCAACTATTATTATGTTTCTATATAAAATAGCTTGTGCTATCATTCTAAATTTGAGTTTTGAAAGGGGTGGAATTTTAAGATCTTAGCCTTCAAATTTGACACCAGGAATTAATTACTGTGGAAAGTAATTAAAAAGATGTAATAATAAAGTAATGTTATCCTGGAGAGGGTAAGTCAGGTCACCCTTACCTCCAGTAGATGGTGCCCTTAGCTTAACAGTGTAATTTCTCAAATGACATTTGTGTTGTTGGTGACAGGTAAAAATTTCTCTTGAAATTCAAATGATAAATTATTTAAATTGGTTATTTTAGCTAATTCCTTCATTTGGTTTGGGATATATGTATATATATGTAAAATATACCATTATATATAGGGTGTCCTAAGAAACATACACACACTTTGAAAAATTATAAAGGCAGTGTTTATTAAAATACATTTTATTTTCAAAATTGAACCATCAGCTGTTAAAATATGTATACATATTTTGGGGGGGACACCCTGTATATAAATAAGTGAGGTTATTAATTATGGAGAAGAAATTAGTTGCTACATACTTCTTGATCTCCAGCTACATTTTCGTTAGAATAAATTAATCACTTGTTTATATGAGTGATGCTTATTTTAAAAGTTGTATATTCTAATGTATATTGGTAAAAAAAATAACCCATCTGGCCTTTAACTTGACTGATACAGATTAGATTGAAGCTAAGTTAAAGATAGTTGATTTAAAATTAATTTAAATTTGTTTAAATTATAGTAGTACATAGGAGGCAGAAAAATCTTGAAGATACAGCTACTTGAATGAGAAATACTTCCTTTAGCCATTTAATTATTAAATTTTTATTGAGCTCTTACTATGTAATTGACACTCTGTTGGTCTTTAGAGATAAAAAAAAAATGAAGACACAGTCCCACCTTAAAAACTTTCCAGGCTAAATGGTGTTGTCTCTAAGAGATACTCAGTAACTCTGTTATATGGAAATATTTATTTTCATCTCTTTCATATTTCATGAGATAATACCATGATACTGGGCTGTTAACCTTACATATTGACCATTTAAAGGTTTTTTGAAAGATTAAGATAGTTCATTGAATTATACTGCCTTTTCACAATGCAACATAATATTTAGATCTTCTTTTCTTTTTAGGTGGTTCAGTTTAATCGTTTACCTTTGGTGGTGAGTTTCATAGCCAGCAGCAATGCCAATACAGGTGTGTTTTAATTACCTTAAATGCAGCATATATATATTTAAAAATATATATATGTATATATATATTGATTTCAGAGAAGAAGGGAGAGGGAGAGAAATACAGAAATATCAATGATGAGAGAATTGTTGATCGGCTGCCTCCTGTTAAATGCAGCTTTTAATTGTTTATGATACCGTATCTGAATTGTCTAATATGATAGGATTAGTAGATTTAGGATAAAAGAAAATCTGAATTTGGGGGCAAGGTCTTTGCTCTCCGAAAAAATAAATTCTCTGTTTTCCATATCTGTATATTGGAGCTAATATCTGCTTGTGTGAGTAAGTTATCCTTTAAGATAAAAAAGAAAATTACATGTTATCTTTCCCACTTGAATGCTATGTCTTGCTCACATTAAAAGAGCTTTAGAAAACAAAAAGAGTGGAGAACCAAAAAATAAAATGGTCACGGATGAGTTAAATTCTATATATACCATTCTATTAGAATTTTTAAATCCTGGACGATAGTGAGCAAGACGACGGAGGATTGTGAATAGGTGAACATAATCACATTCTTCCTGAGCTTGAAGAATTGAGAACACACACTAGGAAGCTGTATTTCCCATGGAGGATAGCAAGACCCCATTACATCCAGTAGCCTTCACTGGGTGTTTATGTGTAAAGTGACAGTATTTAGTTGAATTATATTTTTTCTACTCCCTTTGGATAAAGTGATTTGTTTGTTTTTAGGGTCTGTCTCCTTCAGATTTGACTACTGTTTAGAATTGTTAGAGCAAGTTCTAGTTCTATCTATGTCACTGAAGCCAGTCCTTAGATTCCTGGCCTTTAAAATGAGGGGTTTACATTTGATGATTAGTTCTCTTCCATTTCTGATGTATTGAAGCTATAAAATATATATGTGAAAACACTTTGTAAATTATTCCGGGGTGGGCAAAAGTAGGTTTATAGTTGTAATACAAATAAATAATACAAGAATTAATAAGTAATAGTAGAATGAACTCTTATTTCATGTACTCACAACTGTAAACCTACTTTTGCTCACCCCTGTATAGGATAGTGGTATCAATATTGTAAGTATATTAAACAGTAATTGTGATAAATCACCATCACATACTAACATAACTCATTGGTTGTTATAAATTATGATGTTGTACAGAATTATATTTTAGTACTTAGAACATTTCCTTGAGAATCCCAGATGCTTTTAATATTCTGTGAGAAAGAGGACAATCCATATTTATCTATAATAATAAAATAGCATAATATGCTAATTAGACCAGATATCCTTCTGGACGAAGCCGGGGCTGCGAGGGCAGAGGCAGTCGCCACAGCCAGCAGGGTCAGAGGTAGAGGAGGTACCTCGGCTGCCACAGCAGTGTTAACCAAGGCAGAGGCCCCTCGCCACTGCGGCAGCGGGGACCGAGGCCGCCAGCCACCACCGCAGTGGGGGCCGAGCCCCTTGCACGAATTTCGTGCATTGGGCCTATAGTTTAAACATAAAATAAGCAGTGTCTACAATATGTAGCCTTTCACTCTGTAGGAGAAGCTAGACACGCTAATTTCTAGACTAGGTTGTCTTCCAGATTCATCACTGAACTTTTTTTAAAACATGGAAGAAAGTTCATAGTGAATATGAGTTTTTTGGTTACTTTACTTAGAATTAGAATATTTTGCTTTAGTTACAGGGAATAAACTATCTCATTTACTTTTTACTTTTTAGTAATAATTTCAACCAAAGGGAATTTAAGTCAAAGACTTTTTTCATGAACATTTTTTCTAAGGTTCTAATTTTCTTAATCTCTTTGTTTTAGGACTAATTGTCAGCTTAGAAAAGGAACTTGCTCCATTATTTGAAGAATTGAGACAAGTTGTAGAAGTTTCTTAACCTGACAGTGGTTTTGATGTCTACCTTATCTTCATTATAATAGACAAGATATCAATCTAGCAATCTTGAGACCACAACATACTTGTATCCAGGTACCCAAAAAAGGGTCCCTTTTTTACCTTATACTAAAAATTTATGGACAGATTGTTATCTTTTTTTTGTATAGGTCTTATTTACTGAGATCTGGGGATACCACAGAAATGGTTCTGTCTATCATAGCTCCCATGGAGTTAGTCTAGTCCCCAAATCTGCATGAGATTCTATTGGGTGGGTCGGAATCAAAATGGTCCTTTGATCCACTTGAGCCGTGAAGTGCTCCCCCTTGTACATTCTGCCGGGCCTGCAGATTGAAGCAGATCTATTTTATTGTGAATAATAATGAGGACATATTTTTTTCATATTGTTTTATTTCTTTGCATTGAAGTGTGGGAACATAAAATGGCTGAGTAAAAGTAATAAAATCAGTACAATCACTAACTTTTTTGTGCATATATTCTTTTGCAATATACATGAATATTACTAATTGATTTGATTCTTCTCAGAGGGTGCTGCTCTTTAATAAAAATGATAGCTAATGGTTCCTCTGCTTCCTATATAACCATTCAGTGTTTTAATGTTTGTGCATTGTTCGTAAAATTTAGATATGATTCATTATTGAGCTCTGTTCCCAGTATTGGTACATATGTAAACATGATACTACAGCCATTTTTTTCAATACATAAGTATAAATAAAATAGTATTTTTAAAAGTATAGTTTGAGTACTATAGTTTTTTCCCCCCAGACTACTTTCAAAAGTTTAAAGATATAATTACTTAATTTCACTCTTCTCAACCACAGGAATTAATAGTGAGTGTTTCTTGTGGATATTGGTGTGGAGATAGTTTTATGTGGCATAAGCTGTCAATAGGAAAATAAATATTTATGAGCCTAATCTAATATCTATGAAATTGGTATCATATTTCTAGAATTTGCCCTTTATAGTCAGGAATGCAGTCCATCATTCACGGTGGTTAATTTCCTCCTGGGTTCTTTGACAGTCAGTTTGTCCTGATACAGTTCAGTACACATGCATTGAGGACCTGTTGCCATTCACAGAACTACCACATTGTAGAACTCTTAAGGAGCACAATTCACATCATATTTCTGTGCTCCAGGGGTGCATTTTACATGGAATGTGTGCAAATGTGGTCCTTGAGTTGTGGAGTGAGGTAGTGGGCCAGGCACTGTGCCTGCTTCTTCCTCTCCCTCTTCTTCCTTAAATCCTATACAAATATGAGACTGAACTGTGGTACCTACCTTTAAAGAACTTATTGTTCAGTAAATGAAACAGATATGTGAAATGTGATAAAGGATGGTATAGAAACAAAATAGGGCCATTTATTTAGCATTAGATTCTGCTTTATTTTGAGAGAGAATAGGGGCATTTGAGTTGGGCGAGAACCACTGCTTTACAAAGAAGTGGAGACAAGAGAGATGCTTTAACTGCAGGGAATTAATACATAGTTAATTGTTACACTCTAATGAGGTATTAGACACACCAATCATAATCCAGAATTGCCATTATCTGGATTATTGGTGTCTAGGAAATTTTTGCCAGTGCTATGATTCATAAAACAAGAAGGTCTTTTATAAATAAGGTGACATTTTAATTGCAGGTAATAAGTATGTATCTAAAAACCTCAGAAAAGATAGTAAGTAGAGATACTTAACCTCTGCATGGCAAATACTGCTACTATTACAATTTCTATTTGAAGGGGTATAACAAATTATTCTATAGTTCCTCTGGAAAAATAAGGTGAAAATCTCTTAAGAAGTTTTGAAAAGGTAGTATAAAATTAAATTAGGTATACAGCTAGACAGATCAGTGAAACAGACTACCCCAGGAACAGGCCTTAGTACATACCGCATTTTTCTGTGTATAAGATGCCCCCCACTTTTCCAACCCAAAATTAAGAAATCAATATTTTAAACATAAAATAGAACACATTTTTATTTAGTAACTAGAGGTCCGGTGCACAAAAATTTGTGCACTGGGGGGAGGGGTCCCTCAGCCCGGCCTGTGCCCCCTCACAGTCTGGGACCCCTTGAGGGATGACCACCTGCTGGCTTAGGCCTGCTCCCCGAGGAATTGGGCCTAAGCTGGCAATCAGACATCCTCTGGCAGACCGGCAGCCCTTGGGGGATGTCCACTTGCCAGTGGGGAGCAGACAGACCTAAGCTGCCATCAGACATCCTTAGTGCTGCTGAGGAGGCAGGAGTGGCTCCCACCACCACTGCTGTACTGGCAGCCATCAGCCTGGCTGTGGCTGAGCAGAGCTCCCCCATGTGGGAGCGCACTGACCACCAGAGGGCAGCTCCTGCATTGAGCATCTGCCCCCTGGTGGTCAGTGTGTGTCATAGTGACCAGTCTGTCTGCTGTTAGGGTCAGTTTACATATTACCCTTTTACTATATAGGATAGAGGCCTGGTGCACAGGTGGGAGCCGCTGGTTTGCCCTGAAGGGTGTGTCGGATCAGGGTGGGGGTCCCGCTTGGGTGCCTGGCCAGCCTGGGTGAGGGGCTGATGGCTGTTTGCAGCTGGTCACACCCCCTTCAGGGTGGGGGTCCCCACTGGAGTGCCTGGCCAGTCTGGGTGAGGGGCTGAGGGCCGTTTTCAGGCTGGCTGACGACTGAAGCTCCCAGCCTCTCCTTTTTTTCTTTTTTTATTCTGGGATTATTTACCTTGTATAATTGAAACTTTGTTGTCGTCACTGGAGCTGAGAGCTGGGCTCCTGCTCGCTGCAGCTCTGAGGCCACAGCCTGCTGAAAGCAGGTATCTGGGGTTTGTTTAGCTTCTGTAATTGAAACTTTGTTGCTGTCACTGGAGCTAAGAGCCGGCTCCGTGGCCACGGCCGGCTGAAAGCAGGTATCTGGGGTTTGTTTAGCTTCTATAATTGAAACTTTGTTGCTTTCGGAGCTTAGAGCCCGGCCGTGGCAGGCGGGGAACCTTGGTTTCCTCCATCACTGAAGCAAGCAAACTTCCTGCTCGCTTCAGCTGCATGGCTGCTGGCCGCCATCTTTGTTGGTTAATTTGCATACCTCACTGATTAGCCAATGGGAAGCGTAGCGAAGGTACGGTCAAGTACCCTTTTTGTCTTTTATTAGATAGGATTACTGCAGGTAATGTTTACATACCAAGACTATGATATTATGCAGCATATCACTTTATTCAGCCTCTGTTGCATCACTGCTCTCTTCATCACTATTAGTTCCAGACATATCAATTTCTTCAACTTCTATTGTATCACAACTGTCTTCTGAGTCACTGTCTATATATGTGAGATCATCCTCATAAACTGGTGGCATTTTCTGAGCTAACTGTGTTCTCGTGGCCAACCCTTCTCTCCTCATGAAATTGAAGCACCATTTTGCCTTTCTGTAAAATCAACTATGTTCATTTCGCTTGCAATCATTCTTGCCTGACATTGAGTAAGCTTGGTTGACACACATAAGCCACTCAGGCACTGCTCCATAATCCAAGTCTTAAGCCTCTGCTCCAAGTTTGCCCATTTTGCTGGTTTTCCTCTTAAGGCCTTATTTTTTGGCATCTTAAGGAGTTGTTCTTCCCATTTTCTCCCTGTCTGATCAGACACTCAGTGGGAGGAGGTCCAAATTGTGTCTCTGCAGCTCTATTTCCATGCTCTTTTGTATAGCTGATTGCATTGTTTGAATTTTGCAGAGTAACCAATTGCTTATCTGTATTTACCTTTTTATTTTTTGACCTCTTCATGGGCTCAGAACACTCTGGTCCCTGTTGGATCTGTGCACTCTCCACCTCCAATTATAGCATCAGCTGACGTCAGTGACAATAAGGCTCGTGATTGGAGGAGCCTGTTGGACAAGGTATGGGCAGCTACACACCCGCGTGGCTCTCGGCTGACTTCCGTGTATAAGATGCCCCTTTGCTTTTCAGTCTAATGATTTTAGAAAAAAATTGCGTCTTATACACGGAAAAATACGATACATATGAGGACTTAAAAGATGACATCTTAAGTCAATGAGGAAAGGATTATTCAATAGCTAGTAGGACAGGCATTTTTTATGCTCTGCTTATAGACTTGCTGTGCCTCTTTACGAGGGACAATTGGGCAATCTCTACCAAACTTTCAAATACTAGGATTCTCCGGAGAACCCACAGACACAAAATAATATTTAATTTGGGTATTCCAGGGCCAGTCAAGTTGACACAAAATTAACCTTTATATCCAAAAATTCCACTTCTAGATATTTATCCTACTGACACATATAGACACGCACAAAATTAGAAGGCCCTTAATTTTTTGTTGGACTTATTTCCTACCCTCAGGCACACAGATGTCTTACAAATAAGCCTAGAGTACTTGGTACTTCTTGCTCACTATGTCCAAACAGTATAATGTCATCTATGCAGTGGACCAATGTGAGAGAGTCTTGTGGAAAGAAAGGTGGTCAGGGTCTGCATGGACTAAAGCACAACATAGGGTGGAGAACTGATCGACCTCTGAGGTAGGAAAGTGAAAGGTGTATTGCTGGCCTTGCCAGATAAACTGCTTCTGATGCTCTTTACTAATAAATATCAAGAAAAGAGAAAAACAAAAAATCAGTTGCCAAATCAGTAATTGCTGTATACCAGGTATCAGGGGGTGTGTTAATTTGTTCAAGGAATGGAATCACATCTGGAACAGCTGCAATTGGAGTCACCCCCTGGTTAAATTTGTCATCATCCACTGTCATGCTCCAGGAGTCATCTGTTTTCTGCACAGGCCAAGTAGGCGTGCCGAATGAGGATGTGGGAATCCCCACCCTTGCATCCTCTAGTCTGATGGTGGCACTAATCTCTGAAATCCCTCCATTGCTTTTGGTTTACTATCTTTCTAGGTAGAGGCAGTTGCAGTGGTCTACATTCGTCCTTTCTAGCCCTTAGAGCCCTCATGCCATGGCTCAGAAAACCAATGTGGGTGTTTTGCCAGTTGCTGCGTATGCCTATACCAATGTTGCTTTCTGGAACTGGGGCAATGACCACAGGTTCCCGAGCCCACTGGATCACTGCTCTGGTTCCATCCTTGTTGCTTCTATGGAAAATCCAGTCCCTCTTAAATGCCGTCCAGATATTTCTGGGAGTCCCCATAGGGCCCTTTACATGTACTCCTGAAACCAGTTTTTGCATACACCACATGGCACCTGTCAATTTCATTTGCTCTTGTTTCTATTCTCTGGGATGAGCTTTGCCCCCCAACCTTGGCCATTGCTGCTGCTGCTGACAGAAGACAAGGATGCCTAGAGGCAGCTGAAGGCTAAGGGTGCCATCTTCACAGCTGTAAATGGGACAGTCAGTGTCTGTCCCTTGAGACGAGTGAAAAAACTTATTTCGGTTTTGCTAAGCATCTGAGTAGTCGACAAGAATGCTCAGATTCACCCTATGACAGATGCCCATAATTCATCAATAAAACATCCTCCTCAACCCTCTCTACTTCCAGGTGAATCCTTTCTCAAGAAGGCTTTTAGTTCCTTTTACCTGCCAGTCCTTTAGACCACAGCTCCTCAAAACATGGTCCTCAGACTGGGCTGTTCTGTCCATTAGCAGTATGTGACAAGTACAGAAATCGAGAGCTGTAAAATCTTACAGCAATTTGACATAGTGACTTTATGTCTGTAGAACCTGATAATAAAACTGGGATTATGATATTTGTATTTTATTTAATTTTTCTAACAATGTATTTTTATTGAAATTTATAAAATTCCAGTCTGAAATTAAAGGGGGGTGGGGTGGGGAGTGGTTGGTGGATCTGGTTCTTCACCACAGATGATTTAGGAAACTGCTTGACACCATGCCCTGACAGCCTGAATCCGTAGTGAGCAGGGTGGCCTCAAGCCTAGAAGTCCTCTATGTACTGTACTTGCTCAGGTGAGGATTTAAGAACCTGGTCTCTCACGTGCCACGTGGGCGGGAAGAGAAGGGCTCTACTGTTCCGATGTCCAGTGGCTCTGGAGTAGGGGGGCAGGGTTCCTCCGAGGCAGTAATAGCCATCCCCACCATGGGGTGACTCTCCTGGTCTGGAGTGAACACTGCTTCTGTGGGCAAGATATTCCCAGGGGAATTCTGAGAATACAGTACTCCCCCTTTATTCACAGTCTTACTTTCTGGGGTTTCAGTTACCTGTAGTCAATCATGGTCTGAAAATATTAAATGAAAATTCCAGATATATATAGAGAGAGACCAACCACACTCACATGACTTATTACAGTGTATTATAATTGTTTTATTTTATTAGTTATTATTGTTAATCTATTACTGTGCCTAATTTATAAATTAAATTTTATCATAGTTATGTATGTCTAGGAAATTTATAGGGTTTGGTACTACTAGTGTCTGCAGTTTCCGGCATACACTGGGGGTCTTGGATCATATTCCCCAGGAATAAGGGGGCACTACTGTGTGTCTTAACACATTGCGGACCAGTAGTTTTATTGCTAGCTTTACCCAGTGGCCAGACAAGTTTCTATTGAACGAGTACAAAAAACATTTCACACAAATGTTAAAGGCATGCTTTAAAATTAAATACCCATTGCATTTTGAAGTTATTTCATGTTCTTACAAGCTAATATCTTTTTAAAGTATGATACTTTGTAAAACACTGTAATATGAAGCAAGAATTCTCGTGATCCGTCCGCAGTGTGTTAGGAAGTACTGCCTTGATGCTAACCACATACCTAATAGCACACATGGCCTGACACAGACACACTACTGGTGCGTCTCTCTTATCTTGGACCTTGTAGGAATAGCTGCGGGCCTCAGGAGGTGAGATCATGACCACTTTTCAGGGCTGCTGACAGCAGCAGGTAAAACATCTAGCACGGTACTAATGACGTAGTAGATAATATGTTAGCTCACCTTTTTCATGTCAAACCCTCAAAAAAAAAGGCTATATCCCCACCACAGCACACTCTCCATCATCTAGCTTTGTGTGCTTCACCTGCAGTATTTACCTTATGTACTTCTATATGTTATCATGTATTTATTATCTTTTCCATATTCAACTAAGAAATGCTTGAAAACCCAGACTACTTCTTCAACTCAGAATCCTTTGGAGCTCAGTCTAACCGATATGGATGCTTCATTGCTATTTATGATATTGGTCAGTTGAATTTCTTTAAGTTACAGATATTAAAAACATTTTAATGGCAAAATATCACAGACACAGAAAAGCATGCTCTTTTTAATAAACATAACCAAAAAATATAAATAAACATGACATATTTTACAATAGGTAAAAAATGATATTGCCTACACAGAGAAACACGCGTGGTTCTGAGAAAACAAAACATAAATCTCAGTAAGGATTCATTTGTAACTCCTTACTTTGCAAACTTAACATAATACCTTTTAACTTGACATTTGCTTTACCTAATATGATACAAATATTACAAAATATACTAAACATCTTTTTTAAATATACAAAACTTTCTGAGACCTAGAAACTTAAATTAACAGAAAAACTAATTTATCAAGCCATTCCTTTGGACTGAAAGAGCAGTGTTATAGCTTTGCACCATAATCTTTGTATTTGGGGGTTCTGCTTCTACTTCCTCTCCCTTCATATTTCTTTCTTTAAAAAAGGGAATGTTAAGATAGATAAGAGAATCTACTTATGAGCTTTGGATGATAATATTTCATTCCCCTACTTCAATCTCATTTTCTAGTCTGAAAATGCTATGTAACAAGCACACTGTTATACATTGCATGTGGACCTAGTATTGCTCCCTCAACTGACAACAGAAGTTGCCCTTGAATAAGGTGCAGGGTGATTCTTACTTCTCTTGGGCCAACACCTACAGTTTACTCTGGGGAAGGGATTGCTGTAGCACACTTTTCTTGAGAAAGGCCCCTGCAGTCTGTCTGGAGAAATGTTGGATGAAGGTACCTTAGTGCTCACATGTGCTCTATTATCTACACTAATAAAGAGAAACATGCAAATTGATATTACTCCGCTACCCCACCAGCCAATCAGGATGAATATGCAAATTAACCCAACAAAGATGGTGGTTAATTTGCATATGCAGGCAATGAGTGAAGACTGAAGACAACTGAAGACTGAAGAGGCTTGCTTTCTCCACTGTGGCTGGAATGAAGGCCTGGGTCCTGGGTGCTGGAGGAAAACCGGTGCCGGCAGCTAGGGGAAGGAAGGCCTATTGCATGCATCTCTTCGTGCAACGGGCCTTTAGTTGTTATAATAATAACTATAATACTATTATCATTAAACTATGTCATCTGCTACTTTATTACCCTTCCTCAATGTGTTTTCTGACTCTTTAAAACATTTTCTCCAAAATGGTTAAAGGACATTTTTTTAAAATATATTTTATTGGTCTTTTACAGAGAGGAAGGGAGAGGGATAGAGAGTGAGGAACATCGATGAGAGAGAAACATCGATCAGCTGCCTCCTGCACACCCCCTACTGGGGATGTGCCTGCAACCAAGGTACATGCCCTTGACCGGAATCGAACCCGGGACTCTTCAGTCCCCAGGCCGAAGCTCTATCCAGTGAGCCAAACCAGCGAGGGCTAAAGGACATTTTTTAGATTATACCTTCCTTTATGGTTCTACCTAATCATCCATAAGATATTTAGTTCTCACAGGTTTATCATTAGAAGGGAATGAAGAGCCCACCAAATTTCTGAGCCTTTTACAAAGAGAAAATAAATACTGCAAACATTATCTATTATAGTTTGGAAATTGTTTTGTTTTTTGTATAAAAGGGGGGTGGGAGAAGAATAACCCTGTTTCCCCCTGCCCAACCCAATCTTTGTTGTTTGTTATCTCAATATACTTTCTAAAGAGGCAGCCTGAGCCTCAAAGTAGACACCTGTTTCCTTCCTGGGTAGTAGCACAACCTGGATGTCAGATTAGCTGACCATGACACAGAGTGGGACTCAGGGCAAACGAAGTCCACAAGCTTGGACCACGATAAGGGAAAACACAAGCCCATTCTCTTCTGTTGTGCGTTCTGAGAGTGAGCACACTGGGTGTGGCAGCTAGCTGCACCAGTTTTCATCGTAACGACGGCGACTCGGTATTCTGAAGGAGATGACATCATCTTGAAGGGCAGCAGCTTCCCATGAGTCAGCAAATGTGGTGTGTTCAGAAAGATCCAAATCAGCATCTGCTTTTGATTTGTTTTTAAAGAAAAATCCGTAGTCAGCTTTCAGCGGAGGCCTGCTGTGGATCACAGCAGTGGTGAGCATGCCACCCTGCTGTCCGGCCAGGGCATCCCCGAGGGAAAGGTCTACTTAAAGATGAATGAATGAGATCGGATTGTGCCTTCCCTTTGGTCGAGCTGTTTTCTTATTTGAGACTGTAATAAAATGCACATACGTGTGTATGTATTATTGAGCAATTTTAAGATAACTCTCACCTGAACAAATATTAAATAAGACATGCTGACTAGTAAGAAAACCATGCAATTATAAATTAATTATCATATGCTCCCTCCCCAAGTTTTAATCTTTTTTTTGTTCCAGGAGTACTATAGTAAAGTGGTTGCTCAAACTTGTACATATTGGGAATTGGCCTAATACTTATACTTATCCATAAAGTGCAATACTAGTAAATGAATCCAAAGAAGACAGAGATCTACATTTATTGATATGGGAAGATGTTCATAATATGTTATTAGGTAGAGTGAGCAGGTAAAGAACACTTAAGAATTATTAGATTTTGTTTTACAATATTTATTGGCATAGGGAAAAGTCTGAAACTATGTGCATTTGATGTATTTTTAACCTTAATTTTTCAATAATGATTATATGTTGCTTACATAATTACAAAACAGAAAAAATAAGAAATTCACTCATATCTCAGCTAAGTTTACACATGGCAAAATATTTTCCACTGAATATCAAATACATTAGAACCATCTCAAATGAGTGTTATATTTATTTGGATTTCAAACTGAAAAGATAACTAAACCAAAAGTTCCAGTATCTAGAAAGGAAGTTTCAACAAGATTCTATTTATCAGCTAACTTCATAAAAACTTAATTAGGAAAATTTGTTTATGTAAAAAACATCCAGGGTTTCAAGATAATATGTCCACAGGAAACTTTAGAAAGCTTTAAGGCCAAGTTCTGGGATAACAGTTCACTAACTTACAAACACATATGAAAAATGTATGAGATCCATACATTTTTATAAGCACACCATATTTCCCCTGGGAGGTATGTAGGAAGCAGTTAAATTATCTTTTGTCCTTGACCTAGATAAAGTAATGCTTATGCTGGAAATTAAACTAAGTACCCAGGACAAGCTTTCTTCTCTGGCAATTTAAAAGGATTTTCTACTATAGAAATATGTCAGCTTTCCTCTGTCTGACCTTCTGGTCCCACTTGTCCTCCTCCATGCAAAATTGGCCAAGCCTGCACACTTAAAGGAAGACCGATAGATGCTCAGGTGCAAGGCGAAGGCTCTGGGGCTGAGACCCCAGTGCAGGTTCATCCTGTCTCTTTTTACCCCTTTCGGCAGCCCTTCCATGTCCCAAAAGAATGAACAGACTATTCCACAAGCCTGCAAGTAGATATCCCAGTGAGTCTCAGGATTGTCTGATTCTTTCAACAGAAATATGTCTTAAATCATCACCATGTTATTTCTGAGTAGTAGGCATCCATTCCCAAAACTCGTTTAACTCACCAGTTTCCAGCGTAATATCTTGATCCACTCATCAGCTTCTACTCCTGTCTTTGCACAGAGGTAAAATGTCCTGAATGGAAATACTAAGCTGATAGGACAAAAGAAAGAAGGTAAGACACTCCAGGTGGTGAGCTGAATGTGTATTAGTTAAACACTAATTAGAGTACTCCAAGAAAACAAGAATTGACAAAGGGCCTGGGAAGCAACCTGCTATTCCTGCCAGTACTCTGCAGAAATGTCAAGGGTGTTGTGGAGTCATGTTATCATTATGGGCTAGACTTATATTTTCTAATGAGAATTCAAAGAAGAGGAAAATATGTCCAGGACACCCCCACGTCCTTTTGTCTTAGAGTGAATACAACACTTCCATGTTTATTCGGCTGATCTGTAAAATGACTCAGAACCTGTGCTATGATTCAAAGAACATGCAACGTAGAGAAGAGTTTGATGAAGGAACTCATTTGGGTTAGCGTGCTTCAGTGAGAAAAACGCTGCTCCCTGTGGATGTAGGCTGTGTTAGCTATTTAAGATGGGGAGAAAAAGACAATGAAACAAACTCCTAGATGGGCTAGTCCTTCTGCCCATCTCTGGCCATGAGTTAGCCTCTGCTGGAGGGAAGATGAACTTTCTGACTAGGCACAAAAGACTTGTTCTAATATATGATAGCTCTTCATTTGATTGTCTCTTTGACTATAGAGTCAAAATCATTTGACTAATAAGGTCAGCCTTATCTTACATCTTGCCCATACTCCCTGTGCTTACAGTTGAGATGCACAGTACCAAACATCTTTTTCCCTTTCATGAAAAAAAAAGCCTTGAACTAAAATTCAGAAGGTTTCTATATCCTAAAGCCCACACAGCATATTCTGTTTATACCAGTAATTAATGCTGAATAGATGAGAGGCCAGTCCCTGTGTACAGAAGGTACACCTCGATGCTAGGTCCAATCGAGGGGTGGGTGGGCTGTGGGGGGAGGGAGAGAGTGACATTGTACACACATTGTACAAAACTGGTTTCTGGAATCATCATTGTTTGGTATTCCCTGTGGGAGAGCTTATTACTTGGCTCTTAATACAGATATTTTCCTTTCTTCTTACCAACAGAATTCCATGGCCATGAGTTAGATGATAAATTATAATTAGTTGAAGTCAACTCTAATGATGCTAGTACCCTTTTCTTGCTTCCTCTGCTGCCGACAATAGCCATGGGACCCAGTCCAGGCCAATGAGATATGAGGGGAAATCTGATAGGAGACTTTCTGGGGAAATACCTGCCTTCCTGATAAAAATGGACAAGCATAGCTGAGGCCACCCCTACATCTTTCGTCATGACTTACATGAAGTCTGGAGTATCAAGCTTGAGGAGAAGGCCAACAAAACTGTAGAGGCACAGGACCTGACCTTGTCAAGACAGCTGCCTGCCTCCAAGTACTTCGTTATATAAGTATAAATCCTTTCTAGCTCATATGATTCCTTTATGCAAACTTTTGAAGATGTCTACTCTTGGTTGATACTATAGAATTAATGTTAATTTTCTTAGGTGTGATAATGGTATTGTAGTTGTATCAGCGACACTTTTATTCTTAGGAGATGCATCTTGAAGTATTTAGGGATAGTGTGTCATGGTGCCTGCAATTTATCTTCAATTGGTTCAGGTAAAAATGTGATTAGATAGAGATAAAGCAAATATGGCAAAATATTAACAATTGATGTATCTAGGTGAGGGATATATGTCAACTTTTGTATGCTTGAAAACTTTAAAATAAAAATTGGTGGGAAATAAGACACCTCTTTCTCAAGATACTTGACTTCTCCCAGTTAGAAAATGGTCATGCTCGACTGATTATGTTAGAACAAAACACTTTTGTGTCATCTCCCAGAAATTGTCATAACAATACAAATCGCCCATCATTGGAGTTAACAAAGATATAATTGAGGAGAAAACTCCAAAGGAATAAAGCTGTTTACAGGGAATGGCATCCTCTCATGCGTATCACACTTGGGCAGTGCACAGCCTAATCAAGTGTACCTGGCAGACGTGCGCTCCTAACATAAATGCCCACGCCACCCAGATCAAAACATTTGTACACATTAAGACATAGTTTCTTATTCCTCAGTTAAAACACCTGGCAAGGAGACTTTAAAAACATTTTCCTTATGAAACAACTTACCAAAAACAGTTTACTCTTTCCTGTGAGTAATCAAACTGTACAGCTGAACATTCTGTTAAGTCTAGGATCCGAATTGGTTCTGGTGACTTAAAAAAAAAAAAAAGCAAGCAACTTATGTCATCATAAAAAACACAGATCTGTTCATCACTTATTTCCCTAACAAATCCTCCACTATGTGTAACTGTCAATTTCCCTTTCACCAAGGGGATGGATAATAGAAAACCTACTAAGGGAAGAAACGCAATCCTGGTTTGGAAGTTGCCCTACTGAGCACTACGAGAACATTGATTTATCAATTTTAATTTGATGGAGATGGATTTTAACATATGGAAGGGTGTCATTTTTCTCTTGTGGTTTTTAAATTTTAGTTTTATTTTTTTTTAAGATATATTTTTGTTGATTTCAGAGAAGAGAGAGATAGATACATCAATGATGAGAGAGAATCATTGATCAGCTGCCTCTGGCACTCCCCCTACTGGGGATCGAGCCCACAACCTGGGCATGTGCCCTTGACCTAAATCAAACATGGGACCCTTCCATCCGCAGGCAGATGCTCTGTCCACTGAGCCAAACCAGTGAGGGCATCTCTTGCGTTTTTAAACTTCTACTTACTCAGAAATTTTGCACTGGGGAAGTGAGAAGAAACAAAATAAATTTAAATTGGTTTAGTGAAATGGATATGGGACCTGGACATACTTTTAATAGGGGGAGAAATCGCTGTAAAAAGCAGTTAATACTTTGTGGCAGGAAAGGAATTCTATTGCCCTAGTTTAGCTGGTCCCAAAGAGCAGTTCCTGGGATACACATCTCATCTTTGCAAAAACAAACAAACAAACAAAAAACTTGGCTCATTTCAGGAATCAAGAACTCACCTCTCCACTGATTTATTAGGTGTTTCAGGTGTTCATAAGGAAAATTTTAGGGATTTTAAAGGCAGATGTTCCTTTCATCTAGAGAGCTGATTTTTAAAGGGAAAATGTATTATTATGTTTCTCACCATCTGATCTTTGAAGTATTTCAGTTCATTCCTGTGCAAAGTGAACCACCTTGTTTTCCAGGTCTGAGAAAGAAATAATCAGAACATGTAGGTTTGGAATACAGAAATGCAGTATTTCAACGAGATAATTTCCTTTTGATTAAAACAAGTCTAAAAGATCAGATACAAGAAAATATTCTTAAGGTGTCATTTCTGTTAAAAAGTTTCAAAATACCTATAAAATTACAATGATTCTGTGCATTAAGCTCATGGTAAAGGCAAGGATATCATTGGCATATTTAAACAAAAAATAGCCTACTGTAAATATTCAAGGTGTTTTATAACAAACACTAAAATTTTTATCTTATTAACTCTGTTATAAGAAGAATACATATCACTTTTTGAGCATCTGCTGCGGGCTACGTACTATCCTTGAAGGTTTACATATAGTCAATTCTCATACAATGCCAAATATTATTATTCTTGTTTTACAAATATGCAAATTGAGGTTTAGGAACCTCAAACCACACAGTACTCTAAACTTTGCCTAAGAATTCTACGGCATTGATGGCAAAAACTGTTGTTCCCCACATCTCTTTGTTTACTAACTGAACCCTAATCTTATGCTCAGTGCCAATGTGCCTGGTTAAAGAAGTAACAACGGATTTAAAAATAAATCTGCTGTGAATATGAATACTTCCTGTCCTCAGGGAACATCCAGTCCAGTAGGGACACAAATAACTAAATAAATATGTAAGTTCCATTCAAGCAGGGAAGTACCCTTGAGAGATGTTAAGTGCCCTGACTCTTTAAATAGGAAGGGTAGAGAGATTACATGAAGGTCTTCTTGGCACAGTAAAATAAAAGAGTAACTTCAAAAATATGATCACATAAATGGAGGGACAATTAGATGGCTGGGAGTAGTCAAGTCGTAAATTGTGTTTTCTTTGGGATTTAAAAAAACACACACAACATAGTTGCATTAATGCCAGTGATGGTTTTTGCCCACGTTTAGCTAACATTTTATACAATTTTAACTCCTTTGTTAATAAAACGTTTTTATATAAATTTTCTGGAGTTAACTTGCTCCTCCTCCTCCATCATTCCATTAAAAAAGGATTGTATTTTTTTTTCTTGGGTATTGACTGTAGGCTACTCTGAGACTTTAGGCTCTGTCAGAAAATAGTCAAGTAATTTTCCAGAATTTTAGCTAATACTGGCCATGAAGATGAACCCTTGAAACAGGTAAATCTTATAAGTAGGTCGAAATGGGAAGGCAATTATGCTTTTCAAAAGGGTCAAAGTGAGAACTGAGTCTACATGACATGTTGTCTTTCTTCACGCCTGGCACTAGCAACACACGCCTCCTTACCTTGACCAGGCCTCCCTGCTTGGTGAGGTAACCTTCCTTGGTGCCCAGCTGGAAAAGAGAGAAGCACCAAGTGAAGCCCAGAACTATGGCAACATGATCTTTGTCTTTCTATTTCTGTCCTGCCTTTAAATAAAACACGTTTGCCTTTGATCTTTAAATAATCACCTTTCATTCTTCACCTAGGCCCTTGAAAATCCTTCCTGTGTTGTTAGAGACTGTCGGACTGGATTGTCTTGCATAATTCTGTAGCAACAGGCAACCACTGAAATACTCTCTTCGGACAGGACTTAGCTATTTGCACACAATAACCCACATCATGCCACTTAAAAAAGTCAGTGTTGGGCAAAGTGTGTCCTGTGAAACCCAGCGGCTTAGATTGCTGCAGGGTGTTAGGCACACATTATGCCCGCACACACTGATGCTGGGTCAACACATTTGGGAAACTGGATTAAGCAAAATGAAGGAATTTCTTCACTTCCGTGCTTCCCAAAGTCTGTATTATGCTAATGTGACTTTTTAAAAGGGAATGTTGGAAATACCACTCCAATATTTATTTTATTGCACAATCCTCCACCAAACCCCTCTTAGACCATCTTTGGAGACCTGTATTCCATGAAACAGATTTTCTGGAATGCAGGTTTATTTATACTTGATTCATCCAAAAGGAATTGGAAGTGAGAATTAGTCATTTCTACTAACACATACATCATTCATTCAAGGGTAATAATATCATACACTTCCCCAGCAACTATAAAATCTAACAAATGGTAAGGGACTGTAGTAATAGAAATTTGCATAAAATAAGAACCCTAAGATGAAGAAATGTATAGGTTTCGGCAGAAATTGAACTCCTGGTAGGATATTTTGTTCTAATATGGTGTTATAATATATCTTATATTAGTAAGGAAAAAGTGAGTAAAAATTGGGAAATAACTTAGTTGACGTCAAGGTTCTTTTTATGGGAGTTTCCAGAGTATTTTTTCCTGAGGTGAATTCTCCCTCCAAATAAAAAGAGGAACAACAACTACCACAATAAAAAGAGTTAAAGCAAGAAATAAATATCAGCACTGCTTTTAAAATTCTTACGGCATTAAAGTAAGAATGAACTTTCCAAGTGTTCATTTAAATAATATTAAACAATATTGGTGAATTTGATTTAGCATAATCAGTTTGATTTATTTTGACATTTAAAGGAAATTGAAGTGACTGAAGTTCATTTGGTTGTCATATTATGGAAATGGGAAAAAATTTAAGATTTTGGGTTGTTGCAGGCAAAATAATTAAGGGTAAATTGTTATATAGAAGGCCCTTATAGAATTGTTCATTGAAATCAGGCTAAGAAATTATGCTACCCATTTCATCTTACCTCCATCCAAGCAATATGCTACAAATCTAGTATTTTTGTAAGGTTTTGGTAGATAAGCAGACGGTGGCAGAGGGAAGAGCTGAGAATATTAATTTTATTCATGTTCTCAGGAGGTAAGAAAGGAAATAATTATATAGCAGGTTCATCTTTTAAAAGATTTATGATCTGTAACAGGAAAGATATTTATACGTGTCCCAAGTTGGAAACCACCTAAATGTTTAAAAATAAAGGATGAGTCTTCCTATCATCCTTTTTATCTGCTTGTGTGCCTGCCTGCCTTAACTTTAGTCAAAAGTCATTGGGTGGGGTGGAGCAAGAAGGTATCAATGTGAGGGCATTCCACCTCAGAACTGGGTGGGACCAAGCGGGTACAGAGAGCATCTGTGTGGACAACAGTGGCTGTAACAGCTTGGAATTTCGTGTTGAAGGCTGGCAGGTGAGGAGAGCTTTCTGCCTGGGGGGATGAGGTGGCAGACAAGGCTTAGTTTTAGAGCCAAGGCAGGCTAGGTTGGCATCTGAGGTGAGGGTAGGAGTGGCAATGGCCGGGCAGTGGTTCCTGGGCAATAGGAGAGTGCTACATTTGATTGATCACATATACGTGAGTTGAAGATAATGGGGTCTATATTCCTCACTGTGGAAAAACTAGAATGAGCCTTATAGTGTTGGATCAGGATTGGAGGTATTGGCAGGAACCCATAGATAGATGATGGATAGATACATATAGATATATAAATATATGTAGAGAGGTAGATCTAGAAATAGAAGTAGAAATAAATATAGATATCAATATAGGTATGTGTACATCTGTATTTAATATATACGTTTGCTACTCTGTTCTCAGAGTGGGCTGGGAGAGTGACATCCCAATAACAATAAGCATGGTACCCAGGTCTTGGCTTCTAAAGTACTGCTCTCCAGGAAAAAAGAACAGAATTTCTTGGAGAAATAGCTGATTTTAGATATGGATGTAAGGAATGTACACGATAAGACTGGAACACATTTGCTATACCAGAAAGTAAGAAAATTCTAAAAGAATTATGAGGCTATAATGACATAAAAGTCACCTCAAATGGGTTATTATTGGCCAATCTGGGAAAATGTAAAGGATCAAAATAAATAATGATAGTCAAGATTATAAACATTGATATAAAAATAAATGATTGCAGAGATTCAGAAAATAAAAAGCTTTTTCTTATAGTGGAACTAGAGGCCCAGTGCACAAAAATTCGTGCACTGGGGGTGGGTCCCTCAGCCTGGCCTGCCCCCTCTCACAGTCCAGGAGCACTCAGGGGAAGTCTTACTGTTGGCTTAGGCCTGCTCCCCACTTTATCCACTTCTACCTCCCCCACTCCCTTCTCCCTCTGATAATCATGTTGTTGTCTGTGTCTATGAGGTTTTTTTCCTTTGCTTAATCCC